AGTTGTTGATTTGGCATTACAGAACCAGCTGGATGGCTGCAGTACGTCTCTTTATGGAAAGTGGTGGTAAAATCCCTGCAAGACGACTTCCAGCCATAAAATCTCACACCCAGCTGATCAGCTGTCTGGTGGCTCTTTTCCTCAGTTTTCCTCTGATTCTCTGCCCGTGTTATAATCTCACCCGTGAATAATGAGACATTATGTATTGACAGTGAACCACAGCTGCACCACTTATAGTGCCTGCAGAAACATTTCTTAGATGCGCTGCAAGATCTGAAGCAGTGTTCCGTTTCCTTTTAGTCAGGATATAAACCAGCAGTTATAGATGTTTATGTTTTGATCTTTTATTTTTACATCAGGTGTGATTCAAGAGCTAATAACTGAAGTTTGAGGTGGAAAATTATTGTCAAACAGAGAAATTATGACATGACACAAGTGGTAAAAGGGCAGCAGCTCTGCCTCCACTTCCCAAAGAGTCACATCCCTGCAGTGTTTTTAATGCACTTTGTCTGTTGGGTGAAGCCTGAGGCTGTGTGTGTGTGTGTGTGTGTGTGTGTGTGTGTGTGTGTGTGTGCGCGCGCGACCACACGCGCACGCCCACGGAGGGGGTGGGGGTCGGAGAGAAGATTCTGCTGTTCAGACATCAGCCCACCTCCGAGCAGCCGCTGCAGCGCCTGTCAGATCACGACGAGCTGCAGGATGGAGACTTCATCGAGGTCATCGTCGCAGGTCAGGGGTCAACATGTGACTGAGATTTCACTTCAAAACACTGCAAGACAAAAATGACAGTTGATGTTAAAACTTGCATGGTTTTGTTACAGCAATTATCAAAGTAATTTAAGAGGCATTGTCTTATTTTGGAGGGAAACCACTCATAAATCTTTGTTGTATATGTAAAGCTCCCAGGGCAGCTGAACGTGCAAGCCAGTCCGTGTCAAAAGGGCAAATGTAGTGAATAAAATCGTAGAGAATTTCACACTATAAAGAGCAGTGGTGGGCCGTCAGGGCCAGCAAGGCCTTCTCTGCTGGCCTAAACACTATTAGAAGCACCGACCTACATTTACAACCGAAGTTCTAATATTTGTTCCATGAAATTGTATTAATTTATTCCCAACAGTCTGTTCTCTTCATTTCGTTAGTGTTTCTCATGGCTGCACCGCTTCCAGTACGTGTATGTGGATGTTAGATTTTTTGTCCAATCAGAATTCAGCCTCTATGTGTTGCCATGTCAATCTAATCTGCCCAGGGCCTTCAGAATCAGAAGTGCTGGCCCATGTAACTTAAACTATATTAGCAATGGGACTGTTTCTTTAACCAATCAGATTTCAAATTCGCCTCACAGGGCCAGCTAGCTGGCCCACAATGACGTCAAGATTTTCCGTCCTCTGATTGTTTGGTCAGAGCAAAATTAATAAGAATACATTTTTACAGATTACATTAGTTCCCAGGGCATGCCTAGGCCCAGAGAGGATCAGATTTGCTAAGTTACTAGTTTTGCCCAAATATGTGGTAGCCAAACAGGAAAAATGTTTTATTAGAATTTCAAAAGCATTAAATGGTAAAATGTAAAAAGTTATTTATTTTCCCAGTTTACTAGGGACGGCATAATGTTTTTCTCAGTATAATTCAATAGAAGATATAGGGTTTATAAATCTATTGAATCACTACATATAAATTCAGTGACAACAGTGTATGACTGCAGAATACTTAAAACCTAGTTAGACAATACTGGTATGACTCCTTCCTGTCCAAACCTTTTGTGCAACTAAGGTATTGGGTGCTATCACAACCTGCAAAATATAACCCACAGAAATTACATCCTGCTATTTTGTCAGTTTTAGATTAGCAGTAGACTGAACTGCACTGACTGTGTTGAAGTACATATGTACTTGCATGGTTTTATTATCTAACACTTTTCACCAAAATGAAAATGTCTTTGGCTCAATCAGCATCTGTTTCTGGGGACTGCTGTAGTTTATATGCTGTTTGCTGTTAGTAAGTGTTTAAAGTTTTACATCCAGTACTTTCATTTTGTGCAACAGACGCTGACCTGAAGTTTGAATTTTACATTTGCTGAATGTTTGTTAAATGAAGAAAAAATGCTTTCATGTCATTTTCTTGGAGATGCAAGTGACTTGTATTATGTTCCGTTTGTTTCATCACCCTTTGTGTTGTTAAACTTGTATGAGTTAAAAAATGGGTCTAGAGGGTTACAAGTTAAAAGTTCTTATACTGTATGTTCTGCCACAAACGTAAGATAAAAATAGATGATTATCATAAACTTTTGTAAAGTTAAAGGCCTATCTGGATGATGATGATGGTGGTGGTGATATCAAAAAGGAGACAGCTGGACTCAAAGAGACAAGAGACACCTGCTGTCAGTCCTACACCTGTTGGACTCTCACTTGATTCATTTCAGTTTTATGATTTCATTGATCTGCACAGGACAACATTGTTGATGGGTGACGAAGAGGTGCATCCCAGTTCTCTTAACTGATCATTCCTTACTTCTCAACCCTTTCTTGACCCAGAAGTTGTACCGCTGCACCATCTTCTAGGATGTTTCAGTTCTCTTGCTGATGTTGGGAGGAGTGAGGAGGCTGCTTAGACAAGACATGAGTGAGAGACCATCCTTTGTGGAAGTCTTTTATGGACTGACGCACCTGTTTATCACTTAGTGATTGTATGCTTCAGGTTAGGGAGTGGAGGAAAGGATATCTCATGTCTCAAGATATTTTTGGTTTCTTTTTCCATGCATGTGTGAGGGACTTGGATGCAAGGAAAAGACAAGTGAGGGAAATGTGGATACAGGTAAAGGAATTGAGATGTACCCTTTGTTGTCCTCAGCACTCAGCATGACTTTTGTAAATGCTGCTATGCTAACACTGATTGATATGCAAGGCTATAGCAATGGAACTAGTACTGTATTACAGTGACATGGTCATCACACGGGTCATATTGTTTGAATGGACATTTGAAAACAATACACTTCCTTAACTTGGGTTTTGGCTAACTGTGTAATGAATTTAAAAAAATGTTTGAGTAAGAAATAATGATTAAAGGGGTACTCCTGTGATTTTTTTTGTGTGTCAAAGTCTGTTGACAGGTGTTGGGACGTTCTACTGCATATGTGAAAACAAAGTTGCGTAAAAGCTTTTATTCCTCCAGAAGGAGCTACAGTATTGTTGAAAATAATAGCAGTACAATGTGACTAACCAGAATAATCCAGGTTTTTAGTATATTTTTTATTGCTACATGGCAAACAAGTTACCAGTAGGTGCAGTAGATTCTCAGAAAGCAAACAAGACCCAGCATTCATGATATGCACGCTCTTAAGGCTGTGCAATTGGGCAATTAGTTGAAAGGGGTGTGTTAAAAAAATAGCAGTGTGGCATTCAATCAGTGAGGTCATCAATTTTGTGAAATAACAGGTGTGAATCAGGTGGCCCCTATTTAAGGATGAAGCCAGCACTTGTTGAACATGCATTTGAAAGCCTGAGGAAAATGGGTCGTTCAAGACATTGTTCAGAAGAACAGCGTACTTTGATTAAAAAGTTGATTGGAGAGGGGAAAACCTATAAAGAGGTGCAAAAAATTATAGGCTGTTCAGCTAAAATGATCTCCAATGCCTTAAAATGGAGAGCAAAACCAGAGAGACGTGGAAGAAAACGGAAGACAACCATCAAAATGGATCGAAGAATAACCAGAATGGCAAAGGCCCAGCCAATGATCAGCTCCAGGATGATCAAAGACAGTCTGGAGTTACCTGTAAGTACTGTGACAGTTAGAAGACGTCTGTGTGAAGCTAATCTATTTTCAAGAATCCCCCGCAAAGTCCCTCTGTTAAAAAAAAGGCATGTGCAGAAGAGGTTACAATTTGCCAAAGAACACGTCAACTGGCCTAAAGAGAAATGGAGGAACATTTTGTGGACTGATGAGAGTAAAATTGTTCTTTTTGGGTCCAAGGGCTACAGACAGTTTGTGAGACGACCCCCAAACTCTGAATTCAAGCCACAGTACACAGTGAAGACAGTGAAGCATGGTGGTGCAAGCATCATGATATGGGCATGTTTCTCCTACTATGGTGTTGGGCCTATTTATCGCATACCAGGGATCATGGATCAGTTTGCATATGTCAAAATACTTGAAGAGGTCATGTTGCCTTATGCTGAAGAGGACATGCCCTTGAAATGGTTGTTTCAACAAGACAATGACCCCAAACACACTAGTAAACGAGCAAAGTCTTGGTTCCAAACCAACAAAATTAATGTTATGGAGTGGCCAGCCCAATCCCCGGACCTTAATCCAATCGAGGACTTGTGGGGTGATATCAAAAATGCTGTTTCTGAAGCAAAACCAAGAAATGTAAATGAATTGTGGAATGTTGTTAAAGAATCATGGAGTGTAATAACAGCTGAAAGGTGCCACAAGTTGGTTGACTCCATGCCACACAGATGTGAAGCAGTTATAAAAAACTGTGGTCATACAACTAAATATTAGTTTAGTGATTCACAGGATTGCTAAATCCTAGAAACAAAAACGTTTGTACAACATAGTTTTGTGTTTGTACAGTCAACGGCAGACACTGCTATTTTTTTGAACACACCCCTTTCAACTAATTGCCCAATTTCACAGCCTTAAGAGCGTGCATATCATGAATGCTGGGTCTTGTTTGCTTTCTGAGAATCTACTGCACCTACTGGTAACTTGTTTGCCATGTAGCAATAAAAAATATACTAAAAACCTGGATTATTCTGGTTAGTCACATTGTACTGCTATTATTTTGAATAATACTGTATCTTGATTGACACATACCTTTATATTTGTGTTTAAACTCGTCAATTCTATTACTATTTTTTATGTCTACATTTAAATTATTCCATAGTTTTACCCCACTTATGGAAATACAAAATCTTTTTTTTGGTTGTATTCACCCTCAATACACGAAATACCTCTCTGTGTAATGCCACACTTTATTATATTGTGTTTTTGTATAGCATTGATGGTTTCTATAATTGCGACGTACAGTGGTGGCATTAAGAGGTGAATTAAGTCGGGTAAGTCTCCACTGAAGGCCCAGGTACCAAATGCACGGCCCGCCACTGATAAAGAGACTATCCCAGCACACACCACCAGTCACAAGCTTGGACACACTTCCCTATTCAGTTCAATGGCAAAGTGTGCTCAGATGTTTGCGTGTAAAAATACAGATATACAGGGAATAAGAAGTAGATGAGTGGACGGATACTCTGGTAGAAAATGTAGAAGATATAATAAATGTGGCGTTGCGAAGAAAAGAAAATGTAAATATAAGGAATAATATTAAAAAACAAGTTTACTAAAGTAGCATGTCAGCTGTTAATGGTACAATATGTGCAACTCGTGCAAGGTAAAGGAATCACAAATGTTCAGTTACCCCAGCTAGTCACTTTCTCGGTGCCTTGACCTGGAGAAGACGGATGTGGACCCTGTTTCGTTGCAACATGCACCCACAGCTGAGATGTAACTTCTCCCGGGTCATCTCAACACTACAGCAGCTGATGCTGTGTAGAAGTTTGATCTGGTTGTGCCCTACCTGACTGGAAACTGTTGGTGTAATGTATTCTCTCCTGTTTTTGATGTGAATCAGGATCGGCCTCGGTGACCCAGATGAGGATCCGTCCCCACTCCCTGGTGGTCCAGTCATACCGGACTCCCACTTTCTGTCACCACTGTGGAGAAATGCTGTGGGGTCTCGTTCGACAGGGGTTAAAATGTGACGGTAAAGCCACTCACACACCTCACACCTCCGTAGTGTACCAGCTTATAGATAAGACCTTTCATTCACAGAGTACTTTTTAACAAAACCTCAATCAGCTGTTGTTTTCTCCGCCTCTACCTCTCCTCAGGCTGTGGATTAGACTTCCATAAACGTTGTGCTTTCCTGTTGCCTAATAACTGTAGTCAAGCGCGGCGGCAGGTTAGCACCAGCTTCTCTCTGTTTCCTCCCCGACGCCCCCCTTCACTCTCCCTGTCCAATCAGACAGGAGGCAGTCTGGAGGAGGTAAGGGAATATTTTCATTGTCAGAGAATGGTGACAGTGGTTTTTCACGAGCCGTACCAGTGATGATTTTCTCACACTGTCCTTCACCAGATCAGCTTGTCCAAGCCCTCATCCAGGCCTCCCTCCTGGGTGGAGCCTCCGGTCTGGCTGGGAGTCGGGTACGGTGACAAGAGCGGGACTCGGGTCCCTCACACCTTCCACATCCACAGCTACACCAAACCCACCGTCTGCCAGTACTGCCATCGACTGCTCAAAGGGCTCTTCAGACAGGGGTTGCAGTGCTCAGGTGAGAGGCCTGGAGGAGCTGGACGGTGTTCGAGTTCCACCAGTTCAAACAGAAATTTACAATCCTCAGGTTTTGGTCACTCATCTGAGAATGAGTATGCATATGAATGGGGAGGCTCGGGCATTGGAACATGCACTAGGAGTGAAGAGGCTTCTTAGATGAGTTGCAGCATCTGTGCGCATAAAATAAGATGAAGAACAGACATGTTCTGTGGGAAGATTAGAAACCATGTCTGAGTGTACGCTCAGGAACCGATAAAGGGTAAATACCAATTTCTTTAAATGATTGCTCGTCACTCAACTGGGAAATCATTCGTGGGACATTTATTCAAGTTAAGTAAGTAAGGTGCAGTGGTTAACACTGTCAGCTCACAGGAACAAGGTTCCTGTGTTCTGTGTGTCCCACACTCGTCTAAATGCCTCAGAGTTCTGTTTGAGTGGAAAATGGTTCAAAAATCATGCAGATGTTTTTGAGTGTCCTCTGTGCACCTGTCAGAGCATGTGACTTCTCCTCTGTGTGTGTTCTCAGACTGCAGGTTTAACTGCCATCGGCGTTGTGAGCGTCTAGTCCCCAGAGACTGTCCAGGAGAGAGGAAAGGCATCAACGGGGAAGGTGAGCAGCTTTCCATTCAGTATTCTGGGCTTGTAGCTCTGTTAGACTGTGGGTCTTTGAAAAGACCCCACCCCCCCCCCACCCCGACCTTCTCATAAAGCTGTGATGAGTTGAAGCTGACTCACCCCCACTGAAACTATTTGACAGCTTCTGCCTGATTTAAATTCCCAGAAAGCATCCCATTTGTCCACCCGGCGATGATGATTAGTGCATAATGTGATCAAATCCTGAGCAGGTCTAACAAGGATTTATCAGAGAACATGTTTTGTTCCAGGGTCAGTCTTTAAGGTTTTACAACATTCTCTTTCTTGCTGTTCATTTCATGTCAGCATTACTGTCAGATGAGTGAGGACAAAAGAGCATTTCACCAGTGAAGACGTCCATTATTTGATTTTTTAAGCACGAACAATGTAAAACATGATAATTTACTTCTTTTCTGTTTTATGTCATTGTAGAGTTTTTGGCTTTTGGACTGTTTGTTGAACAAAACAAGCAATTAAAAATGTTTTCACAGTATTAATCAACAAATGAAATGTTAGTCTTTTACTTGTTATAGTGCTTTTCTGTGCATTGCAGCACACTCAAAGCACGTGGACGCTATTTGTCTGTTCACACACCGGTGACATCACCAGGAGCAACTTGGGGTTCAGTGTCTTGCTCAAGGACACATTGATATGGAATGGTGAAGCTGGGAATCGAACCACCAACCCCCAAACTTTATATATTGATCAGCCATAGGCTTCTTTTTTTTTTCTTCTTCCACAGAATCCACAGCAGCTGGGCACAGCTGTCCACCAGACCCAGATGACACCGAGTCAGAGCTAACCAGTGTGATGACACTAGATAACTCTGATGATGAGATGTCCAATGATGGAGACTTGCTGGCTGAGACCAATGAGGAACAGCAACCGCGAGAGCTCATGAGGTCAGGTTGTTTATTCTGATGATGTCATCCCATCTGATGGGTGACATCTGGTGGTGATGGTATGAGTGTGAATTTGACTCTCAGCTGTTGTCATGTGTCACCTGCACGCACAGCAACACGCACACTCCCCTTTCCCATCTTGTAGATTTACATGACAAACCTGGTTGTGGTCAGTGAGCATTTGGGACACAGTGCCACCTAGAGGCATTCAGGAGGTACTTTCACAGCTGCTCTGTGGGTGAACAGAAATGTAACAAATTGGATTTAGATGATCCATTTTTATTCACTTCTCCTCGTCTCCTGTCCCTTCATCAGCCCGTGTTTCAGCAGCAACATCCCCCTGATGAGGCTCGTTCAGTCGGTGCATCACAGTAAAAGGAGAGCTGGTGGAGTCCTGCGAGAGGGATGGCTGCTGCATCACACCAACACCGACACACTGGTGAGACCAAACACAGGTTATACTGGCTTCATGTTTTCTGTTGGACCTTAGTTTTACCAGAAAGTCTCTTGAATTTCTCTTCGTGCTACCGAGTTGCATTTCTCTCAGTAGCTTTAAACATTTGTATATGGATAGAATTTCATTAAAAGAAATACTTCCTGTTATCCCAGCTTTAAAGCTTGTTTTTTTTTTTTAGTACAGATGTCTCGCTCACCATTTTAAGCTTTTATGAGCCTTGGTTTTCCCCTTTTCCCACATACATATCAATGTTAATCTGGTGTTCCCTGGTGGTCAGACATAACAAGGACACTCAGTCAACCGAGACAGCGGAGTGTCCTTTGGGCGGCCCTTGTTCAAAGTCATTAACTCCCCAAGCAAATGATGCTTTTTGAATTATTTCTGTCTTTTCCTTCCCCAGAGGAAACGTCATTACTGGGTCTTGGACTGGAAGAGCATCACCCTGTACCAGAATGAGAGCAGCACCAAATACTACAAGGTTTTCTACTTCTACCAGCATGTGCTGTCTTACCACCTACATTACAACCAGCTGATTGAGTGTTGGGCTTTCATTAGACCTGTATAAATTCGGTGGGAAACTAGTTTAGTTTTTTATTTTGCTGCTAATCTTCAGTACTACACCTTTATGATAGAAGTTGGCATTGTTAGCTCAGTGTAACAGTGCTTTTACATGCTCTTATTGGCTGATATATTGTTTGCAGTTCCTCTGTATTTGTATTTTGACCTGTTGCCTAAAGATTTCTAATCATGTTTATGGTAAAGGAGCAGTGGGACCACCAGTAACTTCCCAACTAAATAAAATGCTATACCACAGAACTTACATTTTAATTATAATTATCTCTTGACTGTGTTTTTTTGTCTTTCTGCCTTGATGTCAAAGGATAAGATCGTCTTCTCTCCTGTTCCTACTGCAGGAGATCCCTCTGTCTGAGGTGCTGCAGGTCCGAGGTGCCGCCCAGCTCTCCGTGCCCTCCTTGCCAGGCAGCAGCGCCCACTCGTTTGAGGTGGTGACGGCCACGCTGGTGTACTGTGTGGTGGCCAGAGAGGAAGGGCCAGTCTGGGAGAACGCCATCTGCCAGGCTCTGAGGCCCGTGCAGAGCAGTGGAGGACATGGAGAGGAGGAGCAGGGTGAGCCAAACACCACAGAACCAGCCCCCTGCATATTTATGTCAGTAGGTGTCAGAAAATAAGGTTTTTCTAGAGGTAAACGAAAAGAGTCGAACAAGAATGAATCAGTATTTTTGAACATCTTAGATGATCATTGGCTTTATTTCTGGATGAACCTTTACTCCCAGACCAGGTCGTCTCAATGAATGTGTTCTGTTTACAGATCAATACTCACACAGAGACAGCGCGGTAAGGATAGACTCGTGCTCTCATTGATTTATAGTCGACACTTGTGGAAAGATGTTTGTCATACGTCTTTGTGCTAATGTGTGCTTCAGGACGTCAGCTCAGTGTACCAGATCTTTACAGATGAGGTGCTCGGTTCAGGACAGTTTGGAGTGGTGTACAAAGGTGAGCTGAGCTTCTCCACACTGTCACATGAATACATCATCAAGGTTGAGCTAAACAGCAGAACCTTTTTTTTTTTTATCCTTTTGAGAAGTAAAGATATCTGACTTTTGACTTGACAGCTTCATAATTTCCTAAGAAACTGTGTAATTTGGTACCAACTGTAGAAAGAGATTTCCAGAAGACTTTCCTCCACTTCAGCTCATGTAAACATTGATTCATTGGTAATTTTTTTTATTCAACATTTAATTCTTCATATATGTTGAATCGTTTGCTTTCAGACAGGTTTAGTTGTCCCCGTGTTCATCTGAAGTGCATTCATTGAATTCTGTTTCAATTTTGCCTTTAATTAGTACCAGTTTTAATTTGTGCCAAACGTCTTAAATTACAGAATGTTGGGGTCTGTGAAATGGACATTGGGTTGGAAACATATGTATCTGAGTTTCTTAATCTTAGTGTGGCATTTTCTGGTTAAGTAAAGTAACACAAGTGGTTTGTTTCTGCTACTTCAGGTACTCACAGGAAGTCGGGTCAGCCAGTCGCCATCAAAGTAATTGACAAGACGCGCTTCCCCACCAAACAAGAGACGCAGCTGAGGAACGAAGTGTCCATCCTGCAGGTGCTGATGCCTTTCAAACTGTAGCTGTGCATTCATTATACGATTACTTGCTGTAATGTCTAATATGTGAGGGCATGTTTCTGTGTTGTCCAGAATCTGTCCCACCTTGGCGTCGTTCTGCTGGAGGGGATGTTCGAGACTGTCAAGCACGTCTTTGTTGTCATGGAGAAGCTCCATGGGGACATGCTGGAGATGATTCTGTCCAGTGAGAAAGGCCGACTCCCTGAACGCAGCACTCGCTTCCTGGTCATGCAGGTACAAGATCACAGCTCATAGACTCACAGACCTGGGACCTGTCACTGAAATGCACAGTGGTAGACCACAAAAGTAATCTGACAGTTCGTTAGGACCCTGTTTGTAGTCACCTCCTGCTTAAAACAAATTGTGCCATGTTTTTTTTCTGTGTGTGCCTGTGTTGCAGATCCTCGAAGCTTTGCGGTATCTGCACTTCAAACATATCGCTCACTGTGACCTGAAGCCTGAGAACGTGCTGCTGGCCTCTGCAGACCCTTTTCCTCAGGTGGGATTTTGACTTTATTCCTTCATGGCAGAGGAAAGTTGATGAAACAGCACATCTAATCGACTTTGTCACAGGTGAAGCTGTGCGACTTCGGTTTCGCCCGCATCATTGGTGAGAAGTCGTTCCGTCGTTCGGTGGTGGGGACGCCGGCTTACCTTGCGCCCGAGGTTATCAGCAGCAGCGGATGTGGTCCGTGGGTGTCATCATGTACGTGAGCCTGAGCGGCACGTTCCCCTTTAACGAGGATGAGGACATCAGGCAACAGATCACCAACGCCGCCTTCATGTACCCGCGCCAGCCCTGGGCCTCCATCTCGCTGGAGGGTGAGGAGCATTTCTCTTCTGTTGTTCAAATTTTCCCCATTGGTGCATTTCAGAGTGACGATGCCTTCTGGGTTTGACTTTCTGACCACGTAGTTCATAAATGTACAGCAACTGATAATCACAAATCAGACCCAAGTGTCCTTGAATGCATCATCAGGAAGGGTTTAACAAGTTACCCGCTGGCAACTGTATTAACCTGCAATGGAAATGCAAATTTGAAATCACAAAAAGGCAACCAAATGTCACAGGGAAGGATTTCTGTATTTTAAGTTTAAGGTTTTATTCAAGATTGCAATCACTGTAAAAATCTTCAGATGAGTTTGGCAGCTGAAACTCCCCCAAGTATTTATGTTGAGTGAGACACTGGAGTGTAACGGGAGTCTACTATTCACATTTATAGTTGAACCCTTAACATACATTACTTTAATTTTCCCTTTTAGTAAATTTTAATGTAGGAAGGTTCTTACTCCACACTGTCTCGACAGTATTGTATTTAAATATTCAATCAAACTGAAATTATGTAAATGTTCAGTGGTTCATTTTATACCCATTTCCCACAAATCACCTATTTGGTATCTTTGCAAGCTGTAGGCTCCTGTTCTATGAGGTTTGAACAATGAATTTATCTTGTGATTAAGCTGAACTAGTCTTCTCCTGTTGGTCACTGGGTGGCTCCAGTGGACTGCTACAAAAGCAGGTGTAATACATCCCTGTGTCTCTCCCTCTCCAGCTGTGAGTCTCATCAGTAACCTGCTGCAGGTGTCGGTGAAGCGGAGGTTCAGCGTGGGCAAAGCCCTGGGACACCCCTGGCTGCAGGTCAGACACACTGGGTGCATGTTTTACATCGTGATAGGATTACCACAGGGTTCTGTTGATTGTGGTGATAAAAACACAGATCGTTTCCATTGATCTCCATGGTCCCTATCAAGTCATACTGAAACTGCGACCACTGATACTGTAAAATACATGATCAGAGTTTATGCAGTTATCACTATTGCATCTTTTTAATCAAAATTTTCTAACAATTTACAATTAGTGTAAAATTTGGTTGGTTTGATGCCAGGCATCATATATTCATACATATTTTCCGTCGCGCGCCCTCTCTGCTGGTGGGAGTGTGCCCACCTGTGTGTGCACGCGCATTGGGGCAGAATTCCGCCGTTCGCGATACAGAGGAGAATTGTAAACGTGCGACCATGTAGAAACAGAAATGACATGCTGTTGTGTAAATAAGATAAACATAAGGCTATTTAATAAAATTAACTTTACCATCAAGCCCCCCCTTGGTGGGATTTTCTTGCGCTCACCCATTCGAGTGCATCTCCACTGTGTCAGCTTATCTTCATTTCCTCCTCCACTACCTGCAGGACTTCCAGCTGTGGTGTGACCTCAGGCAGTTCGAGCAGAGGATGGGCTGCAGGTATCTAACGCACAGAGACGACGAGCAGCGCTGGGCATGCTATGCCCAGGAGAGAGGCCTGGATTTCCCTTCTCACCTCTGCTGGGACCCCGACAAAGACTGACATGTGACCGTAACAGGGGAGTTAAAGGTCAGTTTTTTTTTTTTTTTTTAAAGTTTGGATCAAACCAGTAAAGAGACATGTCATGCTCAATAATCCTGAATGTGTTTCCCACATTAGCTATTGCAGTTTTCTGTGGTCAGAAAATGTTGGATTTAAGGTGTTTGTAGTGCAGGAAAAAAGTCAGTAAACAAACATTTAACTCGTAGCGTAATTGCTTCTATACAAGACCATTTTACCCATTAGTCTTTGTCTAGTGCAAGATAATAAAAACACAAACTGCTGTTTAGTAATAGAATTTTCCTTTTTTATTCCAAGTTGTGGTTTTTTTAATGTACCTGTGTGAAAATGAGTTTTAGTGGCATCGGTGATGATGAGCTGAGGAGGAGGGGGGAGGAGAATGGAACACAGATGAAGTCAACTTGCACTGGTTATCATGGCTGACCTGTCATTTAAAATGGGACCAAAACCCTGTCACTTCCTGCTGTGGTCCCACGTACAATATCGATTCAACTTATTTTGTCCACAACTTTTCTGATGCCCTGTCGTCTCTCACTGCTCAACCCCTCTTCTCTCTGTCTCTCCTCGTTTTAAATTTAGCTGCGATGCATGTCACAGTAAACAGAGTTTGGACAGAGACATGGAGGCTGTGTGCAGCTGGTCTCTCTCTGGCTTCGTTCCTGAGTCCCATCTAGCCATGGTTCTCTCTTTGCCTACAATTACCCACAATCCTTTGCTTTGCCTGCTGTCTTCATCTTAAGATTCAGTGCTTCAAAACATAGGTGCTCTCATTCACCCTCTGTTTGTTTCTGAGCTTCTTTGGGGTTTAAGAGATGTCTGGGTTAATTTTGGCTACCACGAACTGTCGGGTTCCACAGTGCAGTGGTGTTCTTCTTAACAGAGCGTCAGTGTTGGACTGACTGTAAGATTGCAGCTCCTCTGCTGCCTGAAACGTTCACAAGCTAATGTTACTGTCTGTCAGGCTCTGACAGTTTCTAAACTTCAGCATTGCATGCATCTGCACAAATACACAACCAACCAGCTTTATCACATTTCTTCTTTAATTACCCTTCTACAAAAAGTCACGTGAGAGCAGGGAGAGCAGAAGGCTTCACTCAAAACAGGATTTCTCTAAACTTCTTCCTCAGTATCTGCTTCTGTTTAACAGTCCTAAAGGTGGCAGGTGTGGTATATGTATGCTGCTTACATATGTTAGGCAATTCCTGCCACACCTAGTTTTTTTTTTTTTAAGACACTCTAAAAGAACCGAGTTTGAACAGAGTCTTCTGCTCTCACCTTCTCTCGGCAGTGGTGATGGGGGATGGGATGGGCAGGGAGAAGTTTAGGATAAGACAACTAAGGGCCGTGGAAGGGTCTACATTGCTCTCTCCAAATAGGAGAGATGGGAGGAGGTGGTGAAGAGAAGCTGCTTCTTTACAAGTCGCTCTCTCCGTAAAGCGCGCTTGAGAAGGAGATGTAGTCCAGGGCATCGGAGGGGGTGTCGGGTCCGATGTACCTGGTCATGCGGGTGATGCAGTACTCGGCCTGCTCGGGGGGCAGCTCCCTGCGCAGCTCCTCCGCTGTGATGTAGTTCTGGGGAAAGACAAGGCAGTGAGGTGTAGATATATAGAGGCAAGGTTTTCTTCCAATTGTCAGTATGTGGGTTGCATTTTGGGAGTGAAAATGGTTTCTTATGAAATCCTTAGGGCAAAGATTTTAACTGCTTGGTGTTTTCAGTCAAAACAGCATTACTCCAGATGAACAGAGTGTTGAGCATTGTAGTGTGTTGTTATTGGTAATAATTTGCTAGGCTACAATGTTGAGATCTGCAAACCTGAGCTGGGGTGTGTACACAGCCCTGTGGCAACCTGTAACTGTGCACAATGCTTTTCTTATTGTTTAGAGGACAACTTCAGGGGAAACAGTAGGTTTAAAAAACTGAAGTTGGTATGGTGACTTTAGCTCATGCTAATTTTGCTATCACTGCCTTCATTGTAGAGATTCAGTAAGAAAAAAAAGTCAGGAAATTTGGTTAGCCTCAGAATAAACATGATTTCAGTCCAATAATATTTCATGCTCATCTCTGGGTCAGAAGAAAAGCAAGTAGAAGATCTGGGTTGCTGGCTGTGGTAGGGATTACAGCTAACTGCACAGGATGATCAGGTCAGCCGGCAAGCTGACCCAGATGTATAGTACTGTGTCATCAGCTGTAACAGCAGCCCAGACCTTGTACTTGCCTTCCATCTGACCCAGAGATGAGCATGAAAAATTATTGAACTGAAATCATGTTTATTCTGAGCTCTCTGAGGCTAACCAAATTTCCTGGTGATGCCATTTAACATGACTTTTTCCTCCCTGAATCACTACAACAAAGGCAGTGATAGCAAAAGTAGCATGAGCTACAAAGTCACCAAACCAACTTCAGGTTCAAAGCTACTGCAGAAATCTGTAACTTTGCTTGTTTAAACACTTTTTGTCCCATTGTACCAATGTCACTGTGCACATCGTAGCCTACTTTCACAACAAACAGGAAGAATAATGTTGCCATGGATACAAGTTACAATGTAGTAGTTTCAGTCTCCCTCAGCATAAAGCTAACAGGATACTGTGTTTGTTGACTTACCTTGTCTGAGGCCAGAATCTTGAAGGAAGCCATGACTTGTTCTGCAGTGTCGGTCTCAGCGGTTTCGCGGGTCATGAAGTCGATGAAGGCCTGGAAAGTCACCACGCCCGTGTTGTTAGGGTCTACCAGGGTCATGATGCGCGCAAACTCCACCTCACCCTGTCAGAGAGAATCATTCATTAAACAAACTAATATATATTCATCTCTAAATTTTTAATTAGTGAATTGGGGTAAAACTCTGACCTCTTGGTTTCTTTTTTTACATCCACTCATTGTATACAGAGGAAGGTAACTGGGATTTACTTGTTGACTTGACGTGTTATTTTAAACTGCAGTGGAAATTCACTAACCAGATCGTAACCCATGGAGATGAGGCAGGCACGGAAGTCGTCTGGGTCCATCATGCCGTTTCTCTTCTGCAAAGAAAAATATAATTGTGGATTAGTTATTGGCACATACAGTCCCTAGTGATTACAACAAAATCCCCTGGCTCATGCGTTTCATTCTCTCATTAGGGCTAGAATACAGAGCCTGAAACTTCTAGGGAAAGGGAAAAAGACGTCTGCCAAAATCTGTCTCGTGGTTTTTCCATTTCTTACGAGCACATCTGTACCGACATCAGTGACCTTTAAAATGAACCAGCTTTTACATCCAGATTCTGGCCACATAGCTTTCCCCCTTGTGTGGCTGTGAGAGTCCAGCCATGGTCAGTGAATGCCTCACCCTGTCGAAGTGGTTGAAGGAGGCTCTGAACTCGTTGAGCTGTTCCTGGCTGATGCCCTTGGCATCACGGGTCAGGATCTGGTTCTCCACCTCGTTGATGGTTCTGGCGATGGTGGTGAGCAGCTGCTCCCAGCCCACACGGATGTGCTGCAGGGGTGAAGAAAAAGTTTTTTTTCCTCTTCACACAATCATGAAAATGCAGCTGTGAAATATAAATTCGGATCCTCCTGGGTTCACTGCAGTTCACTGTACCTCCATGCTGTAGTTGGTGTGCTTGTTGTCAAAGATGAGGGACTCCTGACTGAGCTGGTGGTCTCCCTCCAACTTGTCGATGTTGGATTTGTAGTTGATGATGTTCTGTTCGTACTGCTTCAGGCTGTTCATCTGTTCCTCCAGGGAGCCGGCGATGTCCACAGACACACGGCTGATCTCCTGCAGGTGTGCAGACACGAGACCGAAGAGGAACATTTGAATTACATGAAGATCTGAGGTGCAGTTATTTTATGTGTGTGTGTAGTTGTATCTACAAGCAGCACCTTATCCTTCTGTGTCTTCTATATATGCTGTTGTTCTTTTAAAATAGGTGCACATGTACATAGACATGTTTATTTTTACATGACCAATCAAAGCTGCCCAGGAACTAAAATAAACTATACTGTGACCCTTAAAGTTTGCCTTTTTATATTTTACTACTGTCTCCCATTTTCCCTCCAACATTATTTCACCACAGGAATCAGTCAAGTGTCTCCAAAAGTTTTATTCTGTTTGCACCAACGTCCCAACTAAAAATTGCTTTGTGTCTTAACTGTGTTTGGCAGCTACTGAGATTATTTCAGGTCCAGTCTGACTTGATCACCTTACATGAGGTAAAACTAGACTCATCCTCTATCACTGACCGTCTGGTGTAGTGTTACAGAAACACTGTACCTCCATCTTGGTTTGAATCCAGGGTCCGATGATGTTGGCCTGCGCAGCGAACTGGCGCCTCAGTCTCTCGTTGGCCTGCTGTCTGGCCACCTCCTCCTGAAGCATTTGGTCTCTGAGGGGCACAAGGTGCTTCACCTGCACACACACAATTTAAACAAGAGGTCAAAGGTCAAAGTGTTTGTCATATGCACAGTTAGGAAACATGTTTCCCTGTATAATGAAATTCTTACTTTGCCGTCCACATGAATGCCACAAAATACAAATGAAACATAAATAACAGAATCTAAGGCACTTTAAGTAGCAGCAAATGCAGCAATATAATAAAAATATAAGAGAATGTATGATGCATATTGTCACAGTGAAGCTGAGAAAACTGGCTTTTTCAGTGGAAATGGATTTTGATGTAAATAACAGGTCCTTAATGCTAAAAACATGCAACTACTGTGCAGCCAAGGTACCTGCTGCTACTGCCCAGACTCTAAAACCCCAAAGATGTTTTATCCACAATGAGGTAAACATCAAGATTGCTGAGCCATTAACCAACTAGTTAGTTCATGATTCCCACAGAAGCAAATCTATTTTTTTTTCTAGCACAGATGGTCTGATATGTCATCTGAGCCTGCACTGACAGATTGTGCTCTGCAGTTGATCGGGCAGCCAGCAGCTTTCAGTGGTGCTCTAACCTAAATGTACTGAACTATTTCTGACCTGTGCTATGTTTGTGCTGTACTTATTATTAGCCAGATGACCAAAAGCAGCACAGTATTGTACACAAACCAAAAATAAAAGATTTAAAAAGTGATTGCTTCATTTTGGATACATTGCCACTATTATTATTAATATCTCTGATTATTGTAACTACTTGATGAATCCTAAACGATGATTCATGGGTGCGTCTGATTTGACTCACAGTGTCCCACTTAGTGCTGATGTCCTGTGAGGTGAGGTTGGTGTAAGGGTTGATTCCGGACAGCTTGATGCCATAGGTCTGAGCGATCTTCAGGATCTCATTGTGGATGCCCAGGGTAGCCATGCGCTCCTTGTCGGCCTCAGGCAGAGTGGCCTTGAACTGGTCGTGAGCAGTGATCAGACTCTGCGTGGGGAAATGGGGGAGGCGGTGAAGAGGTCGTAAAATGGAAGCAGCAGCATGCACTGATTTTGTTACAATCACCAGTCTGGTGCCTAACATACAGTATATTGAAATAAGTGTTTGTGTACAATACACATGTATGGTGCTGGTTGTACCTGGATCTCCTCAATACTGTGGACAATAAACATGTCCTGCAGGTCCTCCATTGCCCCGTCCATCCAGTTGTTGAAGGGTGCTGCCCTCTTGGCAAACTCCAGGTACAGCTGGTCAATGGTCTCCCACAGCTTCTCCACACGCTGCACATAGCAAGGGGTAGACAGTCTCATTACCACAGCACAGGTGTGGACAGGAGCACAATCTGAAATTTATATTTTTCATAAATCTAACAAACCATTTAGTAAGTTCATGATGTTAAAGGTGCAGTATGTAGGATTTAGGATGTATTAGCTGAAATTGGCCATAGTACACAAATGTTTTCTTTAGCTTAGAATGAGGAGCAGGTCCCCTATCATGGAGGCTGCCATGTTTTTATTAACAGTAGCCCAGACAAACCACACACTGGCTCTAGAGCCTGAATTTCACATTTCTGTGTGAAGTAGCAGTTCGTCTTTGGAGACAATTGGAAGACCAAAAAAGGTAACATTAGAAACAAGAGGAAGCACTGTTGTGAGTTTAAGAACTATAATTTGAAAAAAATGGGTGATCATAGTTATACTTTAACAAGAAAAAGGAAGACCACACGAATTCCTGGTGTCAAAGAAGGCACGGAGTATTGCAAAAACCTGGTCAAGCCAGCTGCCATTAAACTTTTGTTGCGCTGCTTTTCACACCATTATAGGAAGGGTGCTTGGAGTGGCCAAAATGAAAGTCTGGCTGAGTGTTTACTAATAGGTCTAACCAAACCTGAATTAAAACTACAGTGCATCAAGTGAGCAGACGTTAGCTTTCACTTGGTCAAGTCAGTGCACTTGTTTTCCAAGCACACAGTTTGTCCTATATTTATGATGGTCGCTGTGAAAAGCCTGTGAGGGCTGTTTAACATGTGAAAGCTCTGCTGAACGCTGCAATCTGCAATCACTAGATGTCACTAAATTGCACACACTGCACAATGATCACTAAGTGGAGTTTTGCGACCATAAGACAAAGCTCAATCCACAGTGTTAAAAGCTGAAACAATACATACCACTGTAATGTTTTTATTTCAGTATACAAAGCTGAGTGTTTACCTCCAGGGCATCCCTCCTCTTCTGGGTGAGTGTGCCCAGGTTGTCCCACTGGTCACAGATGCCCTGGCAGCGGGAGTTGACTGTGGCAGCATCGTGGTAGTCCAGCTCACTGAAGGAGACACCACCATAAGACATCTATACTGTAATTTCGAGACTACTGAGCGCACCTGAATATAAGCCGCACCCACTACATTTAAAACGAAAAAAGTTTGTACATAGCCGCAGGTCGATCGCCTTTAACTTGAAAGCTGCATCATATGCATTTCGTCGTGCGTTTTCCATGATGAGGGTGTCTGCATGAAGCGGAAAAGTAGCGGCTTATAGTCTGGAAATTACGGTACTCATGAAAATGTACACTTCGGGCTACCTAATTTGTCATTAGACTTACATTTAAAGTACACTTTATTAGGAACACCTCGCTAGAACTAATGCAGTCTAATCCATGAGGGGGGATCATGTTCAGGTTTTCAGAGAGGTGCTGATTCAGCTGTATAATCATCCTGGAGGCTGTATTTTCTGCTGCTATTGAACTGTACTGCGGTATACAGAGATGGTTTCAGTTATTTAACCTAGACTCGATGATATAATAGGAACACCTGTCAACAGCAGCACAAACTACATCTTTCAAAATGACTGTACAGTTGAAAGAACACCTCATTAACAGTTGGAACAACTGATTATCACCTTCATGAAAGAGGATTTACTGCAGGACTGTTGGATTAGACTGCATTACTTTTAGCTTGCTGTACACAACACACTGCCAACTGAGGGTATACTTTGCATCATCTTTAAGTACTGAATGATACAGTATGGGCTGTATACATATTGTACATATTGAGCATTATGGTGCTCAACAGCTCGTTTTATACTGTATAGCATCAAAGAGATCAATTTAAAACTATTTGAAATAAAACCCCCAGGAGAAGTGAGGAATAAGGAAATGGTGAGACCAGAGTTCTCTGCTCTTTCATGAACCATCCTTTCATGTTTTTAATCCCTCTCATCAATATGCTTTCCACTCAGCTGTTGTTCTGCTCTCTCTCCTTTCACAACCATTAGGACACTTGAAACACTACGGTGAAACAGGCGGTCACTTTCTCCTTTCCTGCCTTCAATCTAACATTTCTTATTCCTTTCTTTTATCCTCCTTTGCATCACTTTTTTCCCCAGTTTCTACCCATGACATCATAATTACAGAGCCCCCACTACCATATGCACGTTTCCAGCAAAACAATGCCAAATCAAAATCCATCTAAAATACAAAATTCTAGTTGCTTGGATTTTTGGTTTTCCCAGCACACACTTGGCACCATTTCCCAGCCTCCCTCTCCTCATCCCCGTGTCTTACTTCAGCTCCTGGGCGATAGCAGCAATCTGCTCCACTCTGTCCTGGTGAGCAGCGAGGTCGCTCTCAAAGGCCTCATGCTTCCTCATGAGGGCTCTTATCTCCATCAGAGAAGCTGACTCATAGTCCTTATGGGATAGCATGTCCTCCTTACCTGAAACACACAGGTGTTTGATCTGGGGTGGAAAAGTAAAAGTCAAGACTTCAATCTTATAAAATTTATACAACTCTCACTTGGGTCCAGCCCCTGGTCTTCTGTCTTCCTCCAATGCAGTTTGCCCTTCTCTCTGGCTCTGACTCACCAGAGCATTTGATTGCCCCCATAAATTACTACAGGTAGTTTGATCACGCCACATAAATTTATCGGTTTTAATTATTATTCTGTGAACACCTTTACTTATCTTTTTGTTCATTTATTTCTTGTCCAAAATGTATTTTTTCATTTTCCTTTCAAACTCTTTAGAGTCTAACAGCAGGCGAGCACAGACAGAACAAGCAGACAGAACGTTAATGTCTCATTTGTGCTTATTTTTAATTTAGTCTCCAGCCCATCTGACCTGCATTTATTTGGTAAACAGAGCAATTAAAGAAATTATAACCATGCAACCTCTGCAGAGAAAGAGCCTGGATTCCTGGGACGTATGGCTACTCCTTCTCTTATGCCTTTATTTTGTCCTTACCTTTTGTCCAGGCCTCATGCATGGCACACTTCTGCTTGAACTTCTCAGCCAAGTGATCGAGTCTCTCCAGGCGGCGGATCTCAGTGAGCAGCCACTCCTCATAGCCCTTCTCCACCTGCTCCAGGCCCTTCCATGCATTGGCAATATCCTGAAGGAGAGGGAGAGGTGGTATTACTGTGATGTACTCAAAACAAGAATCTTCACCTGTCACTGGAAGGAATGAATTATTTGGAGGCTGATTCACAGACGAAGTATCTTTTCAGAACGTGAATAATAAAACCTTGAACATTTTCATATCTATAGAAATCAATGAGAACTATTACACTATTACGAGGCAAATAAAATGAAGCTTCTAACTTAGCTGAATTAGTTGTCTTTCTACTTGATTCCTTCAGATTTCTGTTGCTGGGTTGAGACTCAACTCTAAAATGTCTTATTTTTGTTGGATCAGAGAAAATGTTTTGAAAGGACTTTACAAGTTTAATGGTTAAAAACAAGAAAGAAGAACTGATGTGAATGTGTGAAAATCAAGAATGACGCTGCACAGCAACAATAATATACTAGGCTACAAATCTGTCCTGCTCACCGACACCATTTTGCCCTCAGAGGGCATGAAGGCAGGCCTGTTGCTAAGTCTCAGCTTGGTCTGCAGGGTGTTGAAGTTTATCTCTAGCTGGCATTTCTCCTGGACACGGGGTGGCTTGTGGACACGACGGTAGTCACGGAAATCCTCCAGCTTCTGCTGCATGGCACGCATGGTCTTCTCCGGCACACGGTTCTCCAGCCAGGGGATGGTGCGGCGGATCCACTCGAGCAGCTGTAGAAGAATATTCATGCCTATGTTATTTATTTATCAATATTGATAACACTGATGACGGTGTGTGTGTGTGTGTGTGTGTCTGTGTTTTTACAGCCATATCATGTAAAGTCAGTGGGAGGATCAGAAAGGAGAAAGCCAGTGAGCTGAGCTGAACACTAAAATGTTGCTGCAGGAGGAGGATGTGCAGGACAGACAGAGTGGGAGTATCTGGGTGCAGCCGTTTTCTCACCTCACTGGCCAGCTTCTCATACTCCTCCATCAGTCTCTCGTTCTCCTGGTTGACAGCCAGCACCTTGCAGATACGGTTGGCAGCAGTCTCAGCCTAACAGGAAGAGAGTAACAACATTTAATACGCATTTACCATGCAGTATAAACAACCAGCCTTCATACATTTCTCACATGCATTCATTAGGATTACTGTTATATAATGTTGACAGTTTGTGTGCCATAAAATGTAATGAATTAGAAAATGGTAACACAGTAACATACACAAAGCAACTAGGTCCAAACAGCCCACAGTGGGGTTAAAATTATACACTATTTAAAATATAACCTCACCAAAACTGAGAACACTATCTGACCTGCTCAGCACCAGCGAAGGCGTGGTAGAAACAGGACACATAGGTCATGATGGCCTTCTCATCAGGTTTGGGTGTGTTCACAATATCTGAGGGTGGGGGGAAAAAGACAGTATTAAAATATTACAAGCAGCTTTTCAACAACCATCGCCAGTGAGGAAAACATTGTCACGTGATTATTATGGTTGACTATACCTTATCATATACCTTTTAAAATTGTTATAAAAATTTTAAATAGAGCTCGACATTTGTCGATTGCTAGCATAAAGACCATTATTATTTGAGATCAGAACCATCAGGGCTCCAATAGATGCTTTTAAAGTGATTTAAAATGCATTCCTTAATGCAGATGGTTGAACTTCAGTCAGAAGGACTTCTTGCCCTGATACCATCTGCCACTGGGTATTTTTTGCTACAGCAGATGCTGTGTCAGCACTAATACAACAGAGAAGTTGCTACAAAGGTCTCTCAGTATTCCTGCCTCACCTTCAGCGTCAAGCATCTTGGGGATGTCCAGGAACTTTTCAGCCACATCGAAAGCAGTGTTCAGATTACCAATAGGGTCATCCTACAGACACACACAATTACTGTCAAACATGCACAATTAGGGCTGCACTGGAAACCACACGGAGCAGGCAAGAATCAGAAGAGCTAAATGATGCACATTGACAGGAAGGAAACAGATTCATAAACTGAACCGACAGCTCCAGACAGATGTAACAAACTTCAATCAGAGATTTTTGGCAGGCTTTGACAGGCAAGCAGTAAGTGCGTGGATGCCATTTCTGTTTAAGTTATTTTTAAACCAATACATGTCAAACCTTTTTTAGATAGAAGCTTACTTTACTGTTCATCCACAATAAAAAGGAACATAGCTCTGGACTAAACAAATACTTCTTGTAAAATATGTGTCAACTGTCAATATCAATCCAACTGGTATGAACATCTGTTTATGAAAATCAACAAGTCCTATGATATACTGATGTATTACTTATTAATACTCCAGATATGAACCACTGGCCTAGTGGGTTTTAAATTTGGGTGAGCAGGATATTCAATTTTATGTATCACATGTACAAAAGATTTAGCAATATCAAGTGTTGCAAAAATATCTTGCAGACATGGTTAATACAAAATGTTTTCACTGATTTTCACCTAAAAGGCAAAGAAACAGTACTGAAATTAGACAACACAAAAGAACAATGAGCAAAAACTAAAGACTATAACTAATGTATTGATTGTGATTCAGTACAAACAGTAAACAGAGGAAATCACCACAGGAAAAAATGGAGGAAGGATAGGTCACCTTTCTCAGTTTGGAGTAGTCAATGAGGTCAGGTCTGTGTCTGTGGATGAGGGCACACAGAGCCAGGCCATCCTTCCAACTGAGCCACAAGAGGAGGAGTGGAGAAGAATGATGGAGACAAATGGATGAAGAAAGAGTAGAAAAAGTGCCATGAGACCCAAGATGGAGAGAAAAAAAAAGACAAGGAAAGGCAAAAAAGTAGGTGATAAAACAGAATGAGGGATGGTGCAAAGACAGGAAGGAGGGTGTTAATGAGAACACAAAGATGTTTGGAAAAGAGAGGAAGTAACAGTAAAACATTAAATTAATGAAAAGCAAAAAGATAAAGGCTGCAGTTCCCTGTTGATGCCACTGTTCTGCGTAGTACACCCACCTGATGTGGAAGTTCTGCACGTTGACATTCCTGTAGGGGGCAGTCTTCCTCTGGCACCACAGCAGCAGACCCTCCTTAGCAGAGGTCTCTGCAAAAGGGGAGGGAGGGAGATGGTGAGCATTTTAGACAGATATGATTCAAACACTATCTTTGAGTAAGGATGGAAAGTACTTTTTTTATTACTGATAAAGAGAAGCTGACTATCAGAGGGAGAAAGAGATGGTGGAGAAGGAGACCAACAGGTTTGACTAATGAAGGGTGACATCAGAAGGTGAAAGTGAAGAGTTAATAGGTGAAAAGTGAACTCGTGTTGAGATATCGTAAGAGACAAATGTTAACAGTATATTTGGCTTTAGCCGATACATTTCTGCAATCTTCTTTTGTTAAGCTAGTGTAGCTGGTGATGTAGAGACACTTCCCTGCACTAGTGCAGGAAACGGGTGTTATGAGAGGTTAGCAGCAGGTCAACGGCAAAGGCAATCCAGCTATATGGGACAACAGGAGATATTGAAAAGAAAGGGCCATAACAGGAGTTAAAGAAAGCAACTTGAAGGTGAGGGTCAGCGGAATCAGGGAGGACAGGTTTAACAAGGCCTGGGTCTTTATGAACGACAATTTATTGCTAGTCGACCCACCTGACAACATGAAGGCTGAATACATGAGGTGTAGATACAGTTCACGAAAATGTGTTGAAGAATCAAATAATGTGATTTATGGAGATTTACTGCACACCAGGCAACTAATCACAATGGAGTAAACCTACATCAGTCTCAGAGGATGGACATCATGTTGACCTGAGATACAGTTCACATGTGACCACGTGACTGATGTATGAAAGCACAAACACGTGTGTGTATAATTTGAATGTTACCTGGTGAATGCTGCTCCCTGAACTGTGAAATCTCTCGACTTTTACAGCTTCAAGACAGAGTATGTTTTCAGTTTGTGACTGTAAAAGCATCACATAAAAAAATGTTTGTTTCCCACTTTATTAGTGTGTGAAACTGGGTCTATATATTGTGCTCATATGACAACCAGGCTCAGTGTTATTAAGGCTCCAATTCTCATGTGGACCGAATTCAACATTTAAAGTAACAGTCTGACATTTATTCATTATATTCAATGTCTTGCCAAGAGCCTCATGAGAAGAGTGATACCCTTACCTGTCTGGGCAGCAGCCAGTTAGCTTAGCATAAAGACTGGAAACAGGAGGGGACAGCTTGTCTGGCTTTGTCCAAAGTAAAGAATTTCTGCAGTGTTCATCAAATTCATCTTAAGAATTTTTGGCACGACATACAATAGATTGCAATTTAATGTCTGTATGATGGAAACCCCGTAGGGAGGAGATGTCCTGGAATTATTATTTTATTACATTTCATTTTAGTTCAGTACTGCCCAGCAGGATATAACAATAATTCCTAGGATATATTATTAATTACATTAATGTAACCTGGAGTCAGATAAGCAGCATAGAATGGAAGAATAAGTAAACAAGCTTCGTAGCTACTGTAGCTAGTAGTAGAGAATGGTCGTTAAAACTCTGATCAAGTGTGTAACATCTCCTGACAGACTGCTATTAGACTTGAAACTTTTTATAACCAACATTAAAATTAACATGTTTTAGTCTAGTTTAATTTTATCAAAAACCGAGGTGCAGAAAATACAGGTAATGGTTTTACTAGGGAGACAATTTGACTATTCCCTTACCTATTTAACAGAAAAAAAGGTACATTGTCTTTAATGTTAAATGAATATGCTTATAATTCAGTGTTAGTTTATGTAAACACATACCTTCCACAGAGATGTCCTGGATGGCGAAGCGCAGGATGATGGTCCAGATCATACCAAGGGTCATTTTCACATTACCGTCAACAATTTCTGCAGACACACATTATTAATCATGGAAATAGACAAAATATATTAGGTCTAAAATATACGAAGTCACTCTGGACGCTATATAAGGTTTGACACTGTGTCCAATATACAGTACACACACACACACACACACATATATATATATATGTACAGCATCTAATTTCAGGTTAGTTTCCAGTTGGGTGATCTTTAGTTTTTTTCCTGTCACTGCCAACTCATCTAAATTCTCCTGACTCTGTGAACTTCACCGGCCATCTGCTGCTCAAAAACAGGTCCAAGGAATGCAAATACTTTGTGACCTTGGTATATTAATTAAAGAAGAATGAAACGGGACACTCACCCTCAGCACCAATAGACACCAGCTTGACTCCCTTGCTGCAGATGAAGTCTAGGGCTTTGTTCACGTTGGCGATCTTGTGGAAACGCATCTTGCCTTTGTCGGGTTTGGGCAGTCTCTCGCCTGACAGACAAAAAAATATATATATATACATGTATTTACTAGAGCTGAAACGATTACATTCACAGAAAATGTATTTGTCAACTATTGTTTGTTAACTTTCAAACCAAATGTCATTGTTTGTTTCCAGCTTTTCAAATGTTTTCCCAATGTTACATCATTCTCAAAGGAATCTCTTTCGTTTTTGGACTGTTGGTCTGACAAGACATTTGAGGATGTCACTGTCAGCTCTTAAAAATACACATTTCCTACTATCTTCTGACATTTTATAGACTGAACATCTAATTCATAAATTAGCTTGGTCATTTTTATTTTCACATCAATTTCAAATAGGTTAAAATGTGTTTTTCAGTTGACTTTTAAGTAAAGTGTCACCATCTGAAATTATGCTAAGTGAATTGTTTCCATAAATGACAAAAATGATGATGGCACAAGGTGGACATGATGTATGATGAGAACACTGAGGAAAACATTATGTCTCAAGGGTTTAGGGCATGTATCAATTGGCAAAATTAAATGATCAATGAAGAAACCTGATCTGTTCAAATGTTGAAGAGTTTCCAAACAGTATAATATCATGGATACACACAGTGACTAAACAAACAACAATTATGCATGTGTGTGTTAATGAGATCCACCTGATATGACCTCCAGCAGCAGCATGAGTTTGAGGCCATTTCTGAAATCCTCTTCAATGTTGTCAATCTGTGTCCCAGCCTTCCTCAAGTGGGAGTTGCACCAAGCTGTGAAGGTCTGAGAGATGCACAGAGAGTTACGCTCTCACCTGACTGTGTGACATACATCTTTACACACATTGACAGAAACAACTAACCACGGCACACAAAAATTCTCTAACACACATTCATTTACACATTTTGATTTTCCCATTCTAAGAGCAGGCTCAGCGAGGCCTGAACTGTCGGCTTCAATGTGTGACCTTGTTACAAGTGCGGCTACCGATGGTGAAAGATGCACAGTAACACGTTGGCATGACAGCCACTGTTGACTTGACAGCCCTGAACAAGTTCAAACTGACTTCTTGTTTAAATCATTATTTACTGTTCATCTGGAAAATCATTTATACAAAAACACTGTCATTTCTAACATGAAATCTTTCATTGTAAAACTTACAACAGGGATTAACCTCATCTGTTACAGGGGCACGGGGTACAGTACAGGGGTACGTAATGCTGAAACAATGAGTCAATTAACTGATTAGTTGACTGACAGGGAATTAATCAAAAACCTTTTAGTTTTTATATCATTTTTATGACATTTTTTGTCTTGGTAAAAAAAAAAAAAAGGTCAAACAGATCAACTTAAAAGAAAGTCGCATACAATTAATATTACAATTAAAAATAAGGCAAGAACACTCTGGTAATTCATTTGCATTTCATTACACAATCATTTGTTCCAACAGTAATACAAGTGAAGAAAGACCCACGTGCACCTCTATTCATTAAACACACATCTTGGCACTTCTGTAAATTTGCACACACACATGCATGCTACATTTACTCAAGAAAAGAAAATTTGTAAAAAACAAAATTATCAGTAGAAAACTGATATGTTCTGCCCATCTACTGAAAGTGGGATAATTCAATAAGCCATTTATTAAGCAAAATTACAAATATTTTTTATTTCTAGCTTCTCTAATTTAAGAATTTTGTGCTTATCATAGTTTGGAATGCTTGTTGGTAAGAACATGCTGTATATGTGAAGATGACTGGCTATTTTCTGAAACTGTGAAAGCTTAGCATCTACTAAAAAATAATAATGAACAGACATTGATGTAATGAAAATAAGCTTTAGCTACAGCCCTAATCTGTTCACTTGAAAGTCATTTACTGCCTGAAGTTGGTCATTCAAGTGTAACAGGATGAATCCCTTGGTGTTCTAGCCAGGAAGGAGTTTCTACTGTAAAGTCTCCTGTTTGGCATGTGTAGGCGCTACATCTTTGAAAAGCCAGAAACCAAACAGATCATTAGGTGATGGCGCTGTGCGTGGTGAGTAGAATGTAGATGGGGATGTAAATGGCTCTCAGCCGCTGAGTGCTTGCTTTTGGTCTGTCTGTAAAATTGCTTAAAGGTGTCAGCAGTGCACGTCGGGGACAATTCAGCCAGTTCCATCAGGCCGTTCAATCAATTGCTGAATGGTATTTTGAGAGGGTTTCATGGTGTTTAGCTTCAAATGTGGGAGGTGTGTGCTCAAACTCAAGTGTGTGTGTGTGTGTGTGTGTGTGTGTGTGTGTTAGGGCTGCTACTGTACAGCCAAACTTTGCCAGGGTTTGGAGAATGTGTGGGCATAGAAGCAGAGTAAGTACATGAGCTGAATAGCTAATGTCAGATGATGGTGTGGGCAGAGTGATGAGAAATAGACTGAGCAGAAGGAGAGGGATATATAAATTAGCAAGGAAACAGGTTTGTAGTGAGCATACATCTTCCATTTCAGCACAACGTAAATAATCTACAATTACAAAATGTATATGTCCATGAAATGTACATGGGTACAAGTCTATGTCTATATGTGTGTGCATTTTCATACCTAATGTCTGCACTCAAGTGCGACTGTAGATGTGCACGGATGGACAGAGACAGAAAGAAGAGACTGACAAACAGAGGTAAAACAAGTACATCTGACAGAGCGGGCGAGGGAAGGAGAGAAACCACATCAGTGGTTGAGTCAACTATAGTGCACACGACTAAAGCAATTATTTGATTAATCCAGTTGTTTGAAATTCATCAACAAATCCTCTGATAACCAATCATTTAAAGGAAGATAAGACTATATTGTTGAAATGATGCAGCACATCTTTTTTTAAGTTCCTGTCCAGGTTTTTAAGGTGCATTTTGAATTTGTAAATTGCTTTTATTGTAAGAAAACCCTGGTAGGCTAGTGGTTAAGGTGAAACGCTCTCGCCGCTGCGGCCTGGGTTCGAATCAGGGTTGCATCAGGAAGGGCATCCAGCGTAAAACACGTGCCAAATGTCAACAAGCGTCGTCAGTGTGACAATTTGCTGTGGTGATCCCTAAACAGGAAAAGCCAAAAGTGACTTTCTTTTATTGTAAGAAGGCATGCAGATAAAAGCATTCCATAGTTGTATATGGACAGAGAAACCAAATCCGTTTTAGAAGCTGCAAATAAATGCTACACTGTGCCCTGAGGTACAGGAGGTTACAGGTGCTCTTTGATTTTGTCATTTGGTCCCTTTATAACCACATTCGTGAAGCAGTGCCAGTGGCTCTGTATCTGAGGATAAGTTAGTGCTACCTGACCTTTACATATTAATGTAACATTAATGAATGGATGCAACCAATGATTATTTTCAGTTTAAAAAAAAAACAAAAAAAACAAAACACTACTTCAGCTTCACACCTTCCCAGAAACCAGGTGAAATCTTCAGAGATCTTTTTTGAGTTCACTACAAGAATCTAAATTTGCACAACATTTGGAGGAAAACAATGTCACACCTGTCAAAATTGATACCGTTCAAAGTCAATTTCTGTATGTAAAAGCCAAATAGAAAGACACTTATAGGCAGAGAGAGGCAGTGAGAGGAGCCACATGAATGTAATTTGATGTAAGGGACTGGAGAGGAGCAGAGGCCGCCTGTCCAGCCAGCCAGGGTCCTAAGCAGGTGCTTGTCGCCTTTGCCATGCATGACCAAATTTAGACAGACTCCTAATCTGGTGCACACAGGCCACCATGCTGAGCCAGAGAGTAGATGAGGTGAGCAGAGGAGGAGCAAGAGGGCCAAAGAAGTTGAGTGGACGGGGGTAGGGGTGGGGGCTAAATTAGGGAGAGGAGGAGAAAAGGCCGAAAAATGGAGATAGGGTCGAAGAGGGCAAGAAGGCAGAGGCAGCGGCTAAATCAGGTTGCTATGGGACACTGCCAGACAGCTGAGAAGGCAGGATTCCTGAAGTGAACTGTAAGTGTCCAAGATGAAGAGAGGCAGGGGGGGGGGGGGGGGGGGGTACAGAAAATGAAGAATAATAAACATGGGAAAGATGAGAGGGGGTGAAGTGTTGCCAACATCAAAGAGGAGCTGTTACAAACTGGTGGTAATTGAAAATCAACAATTCACTTAACCCACAAACATAATCCAAACTCATTAAATCCAAAAAACTTAACAGGGCTCAGCAGGTTAAAAAACAGTTAACTGCAATACGTACGGCAGTCAGAGCTATTACTTTTATTCCTCTGCATCAGTAATGCTCTATTATCTAAGCCCCTGGCTTTGTGTAAATGCCTGTGCTGGTCTACAGGGTCCAATGGCATGAAGTCACCCTCCATCCTGGCATCACCCCACCGCCCCAATCTCTCTGTCCACACCTGTTGGTCTTTCCCAGCTCTGCTGGTAGGGGCCTTTTTACAGGTCCTTCTGGTAAAATGAGGTAACCCAGATGAATGCCTGCCATGACTACACCCCCTTAGGGGAATAAGGCCTGCTGACCCTCAACAGAGCTGACTCGCATATACACACACGTTCCTACACAAACATGCACACTCTTCCCATTTGAACAGGCTTAATAACGTCAGCTGGTTCAACTGTGTCAAAGAGCTGATGCAACCACAGCGCTGCCTGGGGTTGCTGCCGGCCTCAGAGGGGAAGCCATGAGCAAGATTGATTGTCTGCACAGACCTATTCAATATCTGCCTCATATTTAATCTCAGCAAGGCCCTGATGCAGTTTGGTTAGAGCTGAAACTAATATCTTAAGGTGGAAGAGAGGGCTGTTATGTTGTGAGGAGTTTTCTTAACAAATGTCTGTCCTTGACTACTGTCAACAATGTGGATGGGAGATCCAGATATAAGCTCAGTTAAATGTGTTACCTACAATTCATCATCAGTTCCAAAATGTTGGCAGGACTGTGGAGAAAATCGTGCTTTAAGTCATAAAATATAGTTCAATTCCAGTTTGCATTTTTGGGACACTGCATAGAGAAATGACTCATAAAATGGATACATATCTTAACAATAACTGGGTTGAAATTACAAAAAAAAAAAAGGGCAAAGCACATCTTTAAGTACTAAGTCAATGTTTATCAAAATACGGATTAAAAATTGAAAAAATTCACTGTACTGTACACTGTGTTTACCTGCCACATTAACTCAACATAAAAATGGTGTCACGGCTGACCATCTTTCTTTCTTGATGTTACAGGTATCATGTGGTGCCACTTCAGCTGTGGATGACCTGAGTATCAGCCCAGACTGTTACTCCAGCTACATCAAGGTGCTCTTCACACTTACACGGCTCCATTTCTGACTCAGACATAAACATTAGACCTTACACTTCTGCTAATTAGATGGATAATAACACTAAACTGCAATCTTAATTTACGCCTAACCTCTTCAAATGTTTCCTCACTGGTGACCAGTGTTTCATTTTAAAGGACCGTGCAAGTCTGCTGAGTTGACTTATTAGCACCTTCAATCAGAGAGAGCTAATTAAGGAAATATGCTGGTGGAAAGACGATGTGTATAATGACCTGACATACAGAGAATACACATGCAGTTATTTGTCCATCTACTGCCCATTATGCTCAAGGTTTCAAGATTTGCTGCATTTTTTACCTGCTGACAAAAAGCCACTGTAGAGTGACAAATATGAGCACTGTGATGCAGGAAACTTAAAAGTCCATTTATGATTAATCTTTTGTTATTAAATACTGTACAAATATCCTAGAAGATCATCCTGTGTGTTCCTGACAACACTTTTTATTTATTGCAGTGTTGAACATTAAGCCTAT